AAAGGAAAGTCTCTGGTTTTAACTGTATATTAGCCTTCAAGATCTTCTGAATTAATATATGAATTTGGGTCCAAAGTTTTTTGGCTTTATTACATGTAAAGTAGCCTGATATTTGAAGTTGTACTTCAATATTGATCAATTAACAATTTGATAATTTCAGCAGAAGGGAAGCCAACCTTTTTTCCTATGCTGTATCTGATAAAAGTTTTCAGAAGGCAAGAACTATTAGGTTGCTTCAGTTCTCCTTGTATACATACATAATAGTATCTCACATTTTAAGATGGTTCTGCTCAAGGGTCCAAAAAAGTAAGATAGCTCCTGGACTTCTATTACCTAGCTAATGGACCATTCCTTCACTTTCATTAGGCCAGTACCAACAACATCTTCTTTGTCCTTAGTTCTTTCATTGGGCCCATTGCTTCATAGAGTAAGGAGATAGAGAAAAAGAAACCATTATTAAAAAAAAATTAATGTCATAATGCTAATGTTCAGGTTAAGTTTTAATAAAGAATCAAATCTTAAGAAAGGTTGTTGCATGTGTGTTAGACCATAAGAGAAGATACAAGGATGAAACTAGAAAAAGAAAGCTTCCAGAAAATTAAACACAAAAATAAATATCACAAGCTTTTGTGATCCCAGAGAATTCCAGTCAATTTTTATTTTTGTGGGGATCCTGAACTATTGTGTGAGGCCGTGCAATGGAATCCAGTGTCAGAAAAAGTTCCCAAGCCTGCTATATGCAAAGTTCCCCAAACATACATGAATACAATACTTGTAAGTATTAAGAACATTATACAAATCAACCCAGAGTTCTCACTCAAGGCACAAATGACCAGGTTCAAGTTATCCTACTCAATCTCTAGAAAAGACCCAATCTCTAGAAAAGGCTCTAATGCTGGGAAAGGTGGGAGGAAAGAGAAGAGGATGACCAGCAGCAAAGTGGATAAACTCAGTTACAGTGGTGATGGATCACCATTGGAAGACCTGAAAGACCAACTTAGAGACAGATTGTCATGGAGAAAATCTATGTGGTCACTAAGAGTGGACAGTGATGATAATCAAGTGACTTGACTTCTAAAATAATCCAGGAGCTAGCATTAAACTTTTTTCTCATGCTATAACAAATCACATTACCTTCTATTTAAATTTTCCATAATGCCTTAGAAAAATGGCATGTTACAGGTATTAAAATGACTAAATTTAAAAGCTTAATTTTAAGACCACTGCTGTCTGTCAGGAACTATCAGTGCATGAGGGAATGTTTTCAATGAATGCACTGACTACAGTTCCCTGAAACCTAGGAACTTAATAATTATACCTGAGATAATAACTACTTTTTCAGAAAGTACTGATGAATAAAATTATTATTTTCAGCAAATGGAAATATATCTGAATTTGTAGTAGTAGTTTTTCACCACTAATCATTACTATTTTAATGAAAAGCAAGATTTCAAATGTGGAACTGATGAAAGAGTTTGCTTATGATTCCATTAGAAACAACTGAAAATAATAGAACTTCCTTCCTTCAAGCATACTGTAGCTTGAATTGGTGATATAAATATGATTGTCTTCTTATCCTAATCATGGAAAAAATCTATCTGTGTGATCAATCACCAGTTTGATGTCACATAATCAATCTTATGCTAAATGTACAAATGACTAGAGGGTTATGTTGTGTTAGGCTTAGAGGGTTTTATAATGAAGGGAAAAGTTTTATGATCTTCTGCAAGGCATTCTTCTCTTTTCTCTAAGCCTTGAGTTAGATGAGGCAGAGTACTTGACACTTTTGCAAATGTAATCATTATAATATTAGATCATTACATTTTTCAAATCTAAGCTTTAGAGATATTAAATACAAGGGTATCTGATGATAAGCTCAATGTTAAAGCCTTTATACAGAACTTGATAAATGGTAATGCCTAAATAAAAGGTTAGACATGTATTGAAAGAAATTAACATGTATTGTCTACTACTGAATGGCTTAGTTTTCTTTTTTCTTAGAAGACTTAAACAAGAGTGGATGTCATCACCATTTCCTCATCTAAAATGTCAAAATTAAAATAAATTCAATGTCACTATCAGTTATTTTTATTCAACACTGTAACCAATTACGTGCCATTAAGTCGGTGTCAACTCTTAGCAACCACAAAGATTTCTCCAGCATGATCTGTCCCTAAGTTGCTTCTTCTGGTCAACCATTCATGGATACCCCCTTTGTAAAAAAAAGTTCCTTAATCATGCTGCTAGTTGTCTTCTTTTTCTCTCTTCCACCATTTCCAGCATTATAGACTTCTCAAGAGAGCTAGGTCTTTGTCCAAAATATAATTTGATCTGGTCATTTCTGCCTCAAGTTGAGAACCCTGGATTGATTTGTTCTATGATTCATGCATTTGGCTTTAATCTAGCCATGTCATAAACACCACAAGTACTTTAAAAGATCTCAGTTCTTCCTCAGCAGCATGTTGAATGCTATCCAACCTAAGGGGCCCATTATCCTGCACGATGTCAATCACTTTATATTGTTTAAGCATGCAATACAGAGTGAATTCTCTCTCTCTCCAGTATAAAATTATATTTTTGCTGCTGTCACTAAACCGACAATCTGCTTCCAGTATCTTCCTATATTCCTGGTGCCCAACACTGATGCTTATTTGTTTTGGTTGGACAGCTTTAGGATGACCTTTATGCTTTGGGTGACTCTGTGGGGATTATATACTCTTATAATCTGGGCATACACTCCAGGCATTTTTTGCTCATCCTTTCCAAAAACACCTCCTGGCCACAATAAGAAGAAACAGCAACACTTGAGGAAAATCAGAT